AGTCTGAAGACTCCCAATCCACTCTCTAAACGCTGGGAGGAGTGAGGAAGCAGACAGGCACCCTTTTCACTGGCCAACAGTTAACTGAAAGTTCACATTTTGCACTTTCCATGCCTCCCACGTGTTTTTTTTTCAGTTCTTAACTCAAATCTAAGTACTTAAGTCAAGTCAATATTTTCCTATGAGAGCGGTTCTTAAGTCAAAATGTTCTTAACTCAAGTCGTTCTTAAGTCAAGACCCCACTGTAAAGGAGTACGACAAGGCTGTATATTGTCCCCCTGCTTATTTAACTCATATGTAGAATACATCGTGCGAAAGGCTGGACTGGAGGAATCCCAATCCAGAATTAAGATTGCTGGAAGAAATATCAACAACCTCCGATATGCAGATGATACCACTCTGATGGCAGAAAGTGAGGAGGAATTCAAGGACCTCGTAATGAGGGTGAAAGAGGAGAGCACCAAAAATGGTCTGACACATTACAGTAGGACCGCAGTATCCTCAGGTGATCGGTGTGAAGCCCTGTGGATACCAAAAAACACAGATGTAGCGATGACTATACATTGCATGGTCTCTGGATCCCTCTACTGGCCAGTTCTGGGAAAAACACCCTGGAAATATATATAAAGAAAGAGGAGAGCACCAAAAATGGTCTGACACATTACAGTAGGACCGCAGTATCCTCAGGTGATCGGTGTGAAGCCCTGTGGATACCAAAAAACACAGATGTAGCGATGACTATACATTGCATGGTCTCTGGATCCCTCTACTGGCCAGTTCTGGGAAAAACACCCTGGAAATATATATAAATTCCGTATTTTTGCAGCCATAAGACGCACCATAAGACACCCCCCCTCCAGGTCCTTTAATGTTTTAAATATCTGCAAAATTACTTCTATTTAGACTTAATTTATGGGGAAGCGATGCAGCTTCCTGCCAGGCTCTGAACGACAGACAGCTATTCTAGCCTCCTTTCCCCATCCAGCAGGTTCTCAGTCATAACTTTATCTTCCCCTCGCCAGTCTCAGGCCTATTAAATTTACCAGTAATTGGTTTCAGAAGTTTTTGTTATTCCTCTGCAGTGCTCTCCTCTCCTCTCTCTCTCTCTCTGCTTCCCCCGGCATCCGGCTGTGCACTAAATGGCGTTGGTCCTACAGGGCTGCTACCGATGCCCTGTAGTACCAGTGCTACTAATGAGTACAGAGCCTAGCTGTGTATGACAGTGGCATGGGCTCTGGGGAATTGCACCATTTTTTACAGTATTCGCTCCATAAGACACACACACTCCCCCCCCACTTTTTTTGGGGGGGAAGTACGTCTTGTGGAGTAAAAAATACGGTATGTATTTACCTTTGTTGTACCAGTGTGTTCCTTACAGGGATTGCCTGTGTGTACAACCTGCACTGCTTCTTTTCAAGATCAAAGCCAGGAAGGTGGCTGCCATTACTGCGGCACATATATTAACTTTTAAATTTTTTGTTGCCTGATACATTGATAAAAGTATGTCACGGGGGGGGGGGACTGACACCATTACATTACTAGTGGGTAAAATTTCTTTATTATTATTTATATGGGAAGCTACATTGAACCATTGGTATGCTAATGTCACCTGGGGGGAGTGATCCCCAGTATTGCCGTGTGGATATCCCATGTCCATTGTGTGCAGTGCATTTCTGCAAGAGCAGCCAGTGCAAAAGAGGACAGTTTCCTAAACAGAAACCCCTTCTTGATCAATGTTTCCTTTAATTTTCAGCCCTGTAGGTGCCCACACAGAAGCAGCTTACCTACCCTGCTGCCTCTGGGTGCTGCCTCTTAAGTGGGTGCCTACCAGAGGTGGCAAGGTGCCGAACTGCAGAACATCTGTTGAACCATTGACTGAACTGGCGTGGTTCATGCCCCTCTCTATTCAGAACCCCCCCCTCCGAAGCTTCTAAATAACATATAAATATGTTAATAGTGAGGAATCCACAGTAACTTAAGAGCTTATTTATGTATTCATTTATCTATAATATTTATATGGTGCCTTTCTCCTAAAGGATCCAAGATGGCTTACAGTATTAAAGGAAACAAAGTTAAAAGCTAAGTAATAAATTATTACAATATTTAAAAAGCATTAAACAGATATCACATTGAAACTCATAATAAGAGTAATATTAAAAGTACAAGTAAAACAACAGAATAAAAAAAAAAGAAAATAATCCCTTTTTAAAAAACCTCTTGATAAACCAATCATTTAAAGGAAAGAAGGCTTGAAGAGAAACATCTTTGTCTGCTTGCAGATGGACAACACAGATGACCTAGCCTGGCCTCCAGTGAGAGGGGGTTCCAGAGTCCAGGAGCAGTGACAGAGAAGGTCTTAGAATTACCCAATCAAAAAAATGAGATCAGGTTAGTCTGGCAGGATTTGTTCTTTACAAATTCATGTTGGCTTGTAGTTTTTATTGCATTGTTTTCTAGGTGCTTGCATATCGACCACTTCTTTATAATCTGTTCCAGAATTTTCTCTGGGATTGATGTTAGGCTGACTGGTCTGTAGTTCCCAGGTTCCTTTCTTTTGCCCTTCTTGAAGATAGAGACAATATTAGCTCTCCTCCAATCATCTGGTACCTCACCATGATTCCATGATTTAAAGAAAATAATGCACAGTGGTTCTGAGAGGCCTTCAGCCAGTTCTTTCAATATTCTTGCATGCAGTTCATCCAGCCCTGGGGATTTGAACTTGTTCAAGGTGGTAAGGTATTCTTTGACTATTTGTTTATCAATCTCCAGCTGCAGTCCTGTCCCCTCCACTTGCTCTTCACATTTGTCTGGACAGACTATAGGAAAAGACTGAGCTAAAATAGGAATTGAGCACTTCTGCCTTTTCTTTGTCTTCTGTTATCATTTTTCCATCTCAATTGAGTAGCTGAGTCACTGTTTCTTTTATTTGTCTTTTGCTGCGCACATATCCAAAGAATTTTTTTGGTGCTTTTAGTGTTTCTAGCTAACCTCAGCTCATTCTCAGCTTTTGCCCTCCTAATGCTGTCTGTGCAATTCCTTGCTACTTTTTTTGTTGTACCTTTAGAACTTCCTTTTTAAGGAACTCCCACCCCGCTTGGACTCCTTTTCTTGTTAGAATCTCCTGCCATGGGGCCTTACCGTTGTTCTGAGTTTATTAAAATTGGCATTTAAAAAAAAACATATGTGTGGCTACACTCTGCTTAGTTTTCCTTTGAAATCAAGAATTCTAGTAGAACATGGTCACTCTTGGCCAGAATTCCCCTTACTGCTACTTCTTCCACCAGGTAATCTCCGCTGGTTAGAATCAAGTCAATGATAGCTAGCCCTCTAGTTTCTTCTTCTGTTGTAGGAGAAAATTATCAGCCACACCTTCTCCAGTGCTCCTACCAGATTTGTCTGTGAGGGTGATGGGACCATGAGGCAGGCTTGTCCTGATGATCTTGACACTTGGTTAGGCTTATAAAGGGAGATATGGTGTTTGAGACAGCTTAATAATCCAAGAATACATTCTGACCTTCATAAATTGTCTGTATATATCTAGTATATACACAAAGTTTGATTAGTTCAGGTGTGATGTCTATCTGTGTATTCTTACTTAATGTGAATACGTCCTGTATTAATGTTCATCCTGTTTGCCTTATGTATTTTATTTCTTTCCTCATTTCTAATTTAGTGGTAGGACATAGTCATTGCATGGTTAAGCATTAAATTAGAATTAGAAGAGGAAAGGAAAATACATTTGAGGAAAATGAAATATATAAGCACAGGTTTGTTTTCATAGCATTAAACTGGTTGAATGTTTCATCTTAGTTTAAGGTAACATGGCGATAGGATGCAGCTAGTGTGATGGGCTACTTTCAGGAAAATCTTGAAAGTTGCATGAGTGTAAATCTACTTTCTTACAGAATTCATAGTTTAAATGAGATGTCAGAAGTACTCATGCCAAACGTTTTGTTGGTTTTCCAGGTGGGATGGATTCATCGTTGTCAACCAAATTTTTGGATGTAGATTTGAAGCTAATGGAAATACACTACCACCCAAAAGAAGTACTTGTGAAATTTCAAGGCCAATATAACACAGAAGATGAGTTTGACTACCACATATTACAAAATGAAATACAGCAGGTACCAAAAGTGAAGGACAGTGTTGGCATTGGTGACTTTTGTTTAGTGGAAGAATCAGATTGTGGAGAATGGTACAGAGGAAGAGTAGTACAAAGGAAGAACCAGATCTATGATGTATTTCTTATTGACTGTGGAAAAATATTGTCAGTTTATGAAGCTCACATTGCTTGTGCCACTGAAGAGCTGTTTCAGCTTCCTCCAAAAATAGTTTCTGGGATTTTTGCAAATATATTGCCACTTGATGAGAAATGGTCTCCAAAAGCATTGAATTACTTTTCAGCCTTAAGAGACTTGAAGATTAAAGGTCATGTAGAAGCCATTCTGCAGCACCAAACATTGCTCCTTGATGTGCCAAAAATAGCTAGTGATATTGTTGAACTAAATTTAGGAAAACTTGTTGATGGAGACACATTCTGTCTCATTGTAGAGATGTTAATGGAATCTCCACAAGAGCCTCTCTGTAAACAAATGCCAGATTTATTGCAACAGAAATACACAAGCTCTACATTATTCAGTACTGGAAGTGAACCAGAACAACCAATTCTGCATAGCCTCCAACCACGTTTGTCTGGTGGTGAGGTGGAGAAGGTAAGAATATCAATGGCAGTGAGTCCAAGTAAATTTTATTGCCAGCTGCTAAGGCAGCAGATGGAGCTCAGTATATTGACAGCCCATATGTCTTCCTATTACGAAACTATAAGTAGAGAAAATGTTTCATCGTGTGACAGTCTTGGAGTCCTCTGTGCAGCGAGACAAAAAAATGGTCATTGGCACAGGGGAGTGATACAGCAGTTACTTTCTGATAACAGAGTGAAAGTTTGGTTTATGGACTTCGGCATCTGTCAAGCTGTGCCTTCTGATGGCGTTTTGAAGCTTCACCCAGCATTCATTTCAGTGCCTAGGTTTGCATTTCCATGTGCATTGTCATGTCTTACTGATGAGGATGAAAGTGTAAGACATAATCAGCTAGAAGAGTTTAAAAAGGTCCTATTAAGACAAAGTGCTGTTTATGTCCATATTGATCTATTCAGTGCTAATGAGCACTTATATTATGTTACATTACGTAAGAATGATGCTGTAGTGAATACTGCATGCCCATCTCAAGAAAATGATGTGATCCCAAAATGCCATCCTTCTTTAAATGTGACTGTCTCTTGCATGGGGGGAGACATAATAATCCCTGGTACAAACCCTGTCTTTGGCCACTGTGTTGACAGGAGTACTCCACAGTCAGAATATTCTTCATATCAAAAGTTATCTGGTTTTATGTGCAGTCCTTTAACAATCCCTTGCAGAAGATCAGAAATGAAAATAGATTCAGTTTGTGTTGCTTTTCTAGCATATGTCTTAAATCCATCAAATTTTTGGATCCAAAATAATGATCATCTAGATGATTTTGAAGACTTAATGAAACGAATTTCAGCTGTGTATGATGCAAGTGAAACAGATGATAAGATTCTGGAAAACCCACAACCTGGACAGATGTGTTGTGCACGATATTATGAGGACATGCATTTCTATAGAGCTGTCATCATAGACGTTGAGGATAATAGCATTAATGTTTGTTTTTTAGATTTCGGGAATACTGAGACAGTGCCACTCATTGATGTGAGAATTTTGCTCCCAGAGTTTCAAGAATTACCAGCCCTAGCCATATGTTGTTCACTTGCTAATGCATTTCCAGTGTGTGATGTATGGACTAAAAGAGAAACTGATTTCTTCAAAACAATTGTAGTTGACAAACAACTCACGCTTCATCCCATTGCAAAAGAAGAAAATAAATACATTGTTAATGTGCAGTGTATGAATGGCACAGAGCAAGATGATGTTCTCATGCTTATGGTTCAGGCTGGATATGCAGAACATTGGAAAATGAAACAAGATCCAGTTCTGAAAATCATTAGAGGTTCTCAAGTACAACGCTCACTTCCTAAATATAAAAAAGTAGAGGTTAAATCAGTTACTCAGAAAAGTAAAGTAGTGATAGGTGTCAATGCTGGTCAAAATAGGAAATCACGGAATATTTTGCTTATGAAAGAAAAGCATACTGTTACTTCCCTACAGTGGGAAACTGTACTTTCCAGTAAATGTGGAAAAGCCTCTGGAAAATTTAATAAAGAGAGGCACTACAAAGATTACCAGTTTGAACCAGGAACTGTACTTGATGTTGTATGTTCTCATAGTGCTTCACCAGGTGACTTTTCATGTCAGATACGCAGTCAGCTACCAGAACTAGATAACTTAATGGAACAAATACAGTTTCACTACAACACTAATAAGACCCCATATGAAAATGGACAGGTTGCCTGTGTTGTGAAGCATTCCAAGGATGGAAAATGGTACAGAGGTGTTGTATTGAATCATCTGTCCCAAACAGAGGTTGAAGTTCTATTCGTAGACTATGGTAATAAGGAAACAGTTTTCCTGAGAGATCTTCAAGCTATTTTCCCAGATTTTCTGATATTGGAAAGTCAAGCATTTAGATGTTGTATTGGTAGTGTCACTGAATCCTTAACATTTGACCCACAAAATTGGAATATGGAGGCATGTCATGATTTTCAGCATTTTGTGGAATCTGCCAATGCAATACTGACTTGTACAGTTTCTGCCCTGGTTGTTAGGCTTCCAAACCATTTGTATCATGTAGTTGATTTGCTGACTCCATTTACCAATTTGCAACAGTTTCTCTTAGAACGTGGTCATATCCAGTCTTGCTCTTTTGAGCTTACCAAATCACTGGCACCATCATTCTCTCTGCGCAGCTTTTGCTATTCCTCTTTCAATATAAAAATTGGAAGCGAAGAAGAGATGTGTATAACCCACATAGGAAGTCCTACAAAAATCTTTTGCCAGCTGAGTAGAAATGCAAGTGATCTAGACAAAATATGGCAGAAGATTGCAGAAATTAGCCAAATACCAGCCCAACCAAACCAAACAAACACATTGTGCTTAGCCAAATATGTTGACGATGGCCTTTTCTATAGAGCTTTAGTATCTTCTGCAGGATCTTTAGATTACTGCCTGGCGTACTTTGTCGACTTTGGAAATAAGGAGTTGGTGAGAAAGAATGAATTGCTTCCAATTCCAGATCAGGCTTCAGAGTTACTTTTCACTCCTATGCAAGCTATCAAATGTTACCTTGCAGATTTAAAAGATACTGAAATTCCAGTTGAAGTAAATACTTGGTTTGAAAAGAATTACTTGGGAAAACAGCTGAAAGCAGTAATTGTAGCTAAAGAATATGATGGATGGTTTGGTGTGGAGTTGTCTGATGGAGATTTAAGAATAAATAAGAAAATCAAAGAATTAATAAAAAGCAGAAAATGTGACAATAAGTCAGAAGTTACACAGAAGTGTGCAGAGAAGTCAACTAGAGATTTTTTACCTGAGGTAAAAAATGCAGATAAAATGAAAGTCAAAAATCAAGTAATAGAACAAGAGAGGGAAAGAAAAAAGGTAAAGCCATTTAATCAGAGTGGTGACAAGTTACATGCTGAGTATGGCAAAGAAATTGTTGATTTGCAGAAACAACGCAGCAGGCCTCCAAAGTTGCCAGCAGCTAAAGAAAATAGATGTACATTTTTGCAAAATATTCAGGGGCAGAAATATCAAAGTTCATACGGAGAATGGAGTACTGAACCTGCTGATTACCCTACTATGCAGTCCAAGGAATTGCTTGCAAATAATGCAACTGCATCCCATGTATTAAAATTAAACTCTTCTGGACAAGAAAGGAATAGGCGTGTCAAGCAGAAGTACATGTGTCTTCGACAGCCTAATATTGAGCCACATTCCAAAGCTTTAGGTTATATTTCCTGTATAAATAGTCTGTCAGATTTCTATATTCATTGTGCAGATGATGAGAATAAAATTGTGCAGCTTGCTGATAAACTGAATGGAGGGACACTTGTCATAAAGCCAGAAACAGATGGTGAAATTGAGGAAGGTGACATTGTTCTAGCAGAGTATGAATATGATTGCTGCATATACAGAGCTATTGTTAGAGAAGTTAAATCAGAAAAATCTTTTGAAGTGGAGTTTATTGATTATGGTAACAGGTCAACTGTGAATGCATCAAAAATCTATAAGATGGGAAAGATTTTCTTAAATATACCAAGACTCAGCATACATTGTTTTCTTAGCAGAGCAAAATGTGAGTTCCCAGAGAAGGATTGGAGCAGTGATACTACTGCCTACTTTGTCAGTAAAGTAAATAATCAACCAGTAATATTTGAGTTTTTGCAACAGCATGGCGAACAGTGGGAGGTGGATATATTCTGTCAAGGAATATCTGTGGTCAATGAGTTAATGCAAAAAGAAGTCAGCTTAGGTTTACAAAGAAAGCTTGTATTAAATCTTGATCAAATCAGGAAACCTCTGCCAAGAACAGATGCTGACACTGATAGTAATTCCCAGAATAAAAAACTAAAAAATCAAAATGCTACAGAAAGTCATCCTAAAGTTGACCGCCAAAATGTAAAGCCAGGACAACTAGAACTATCTGAAATAGCCCATGTTTCGAGAGAAGGACACTTCTATGTGAAGCTAAGTAAGAATGAACAAATACTGTCTGATTTAAATATGATGGTTGCCCAAGAAGCAGAGAAAAACTCCTTCCTTGAAGTGGAAAATATTGAAGAAGGTTTAGAATACCTGACAAAATCAAAAGCAACTCTCCAATGGCATCGCTCTGAAATTATTAAAAAGTATGTTAATGAAGAGAGTATGTTGGTTTTTTTCATGGATTTGGGAAAATTTGAAGTGGTGTCCCTTCGTGACACACAGCTGATGAGCGACAAGATCAGAAGTATCCCTAGGAACACAGTTCTTTGTAAATGGATTTGTATTAGAAATCTAAGTGGCCTGCCTTTTGAGAGAGTGGCAGAGATAATAAAATGTCACAAGATAAAGATCTTGTTTTTGAGATGGCTAGAATCTGCTTTTATTTGGGAAGTAGAAATACTTATAGATGAGATTATGCTTTCTGAATTTTGGAAACAGTCTCCTTTGTTACAATCTTTAGAGAGTTGTAACTTATCAGACAATTTACAGGTAGATGGAAGAGTGCAGTTGAAGCAAAGTTCAGTTTCATGGGCATTGTTCCAGATTAATAAAGAGTATCCTGGGTTTGTTACCTCAGTCACTGATCCTTCAGACTTCTTCGTCCAGCTAGAAGATTCATTTGAAGCACTGAAAACATTATTTAAGCTCCTCTCCAATCTTCCAGAAAACCTGCCACCTGTGCCACATGAACTTATTGTTCCTGGTGCCTGTTCCCTAATAAAGACTGGCGCTAACACAAAATGGAGCAGAGTCGAAGTGTCTGAAGTCTCCAGAATCTCTGGTCAGCTAACACTTACTTTGATTGATTTGGGAATATCAGCTACAATTCCCATCTCTGATAGCCACAAATTAAAAGTTATCCCAGAAAAACTTATTACCTTACCACGCTTGACTTATCCTTGCTCTTTGTCTAGGGTGTCACCTGCTGGTGGGGAGTGCTGGAGCAATGAGGCAAAACTTAAAGTTCAAGAATTTCTTGGTAAGCAAGGCCTGACATTTAGGTTCAAACGTTACCACCCTAAGCCAAAACTAGAAGTAGATGTTTTCTGCGGGCCGAAGAATGTAGCAGAAGTGCTGGTTGCATCTGGTTGTGCTGTATATAGTGAGAGTGCTTCCTCCCTTGGTTCCATCAGTTCTGCAGAACGTGGTCTGCCAAATTCACAGAATTGCTGTGAGCCACCCAAAATATGTTGCCAGACAAAATCTGCTGCGAGGGTTGCCTGGCTATCAGGAGAGGAAGAGCAGCCACAAGAATTAGACCTGCTCTTCAAAGGCATTTGTAGCAGAGGTTCAAGACAGAGCTCAAAGAGTTTAAGTCTTAGAAAAAAAGATCGGCAGAAGACATTCTTATGGAGTAGCAGAAGAAACAATGGTCATCTTAAGTGTGACCCGAGTTTATTTGGTCAGTTTCAAGCCACAGGGACAATTGGGAAAACCTGTCCTGCTAATGTGCTGTCAGAGGTTCTATGTGAGATGCAAGCCCTTTATCAGCAGACCACAGAGACTGATACTCTTTCTGAACTGACCACAAAAGTTGATGGGATGCAGATATCTGAAGAGAGTAACACGTGAACATGTCATGAGAAAGGTCAGTATTATTATGTCTTTAAAAATAGCTCTATAGCTTATTAATTTTTACTCTTTTTTTCTGACATAATAAGAACTAAGTGGGGCCCAGATCTGACTTTAGGCTGAGATCCAAAGAATTGTTTATACGGACCTATGTGGGTAAGTAACAGCTATGAATTCAGAAACTGGGAAACCAACAATAGTGCTACAAGCCGTTTGGTGGAACCTCTTCCGAGTGTGCATATGACTGAATTTGAAATCCACCATAAATGGGCAGACAGAGCTGAATCCTTTCCATACGACTGTTTTTTTAGATTTACTTTTTGAAGTACAGTGGTGCCTTGCATGACGACAACCCCGCTGTACGATGAATCCACAGGACGGTGACATTTTTGCGATCGCTATAGCGATCACAAAACGATGTTTCCTATGGGTTTTTTTCGCTGGACATTGATTAGGTCCTTGCTTCGCAAACCGTTTGTTCACAATATGACAATCTTTACAGCTGATCGTCGGGTTCCTAAAATGGTTGCCCTGCATTTTCCACACACATGCTTTGCAGGACAGCCATTTTAATAGCTGATCGGCGCTCTCAAAATGACTTCCCTATGGAGGATCTTCGCTGGACGACGAGGTAATTTCCCCATTGGAACGCATTAAACGAGTTTCAGTGCATTCCAATGGGGAAAGGCTTTTCGCATGACAACGATTTCGCTTAACTGCGATTTTCCTGGAACAGATTATTGTCATCATGAGAGGCACCACTGTAAGTGGCTTTTCCTCCCCATGGTGGTTACGTCTGGTCATGCAGTTAGGAATGGGCAGAAAATATATAAGGATTTACTGTGGTGAGATCTTTGGCTGACATGTGATAGATTTCCAAGAATTTGCAGGTTCCAAGGACTAGCACTAATGAAGTGAGCTTCAAATAATCAGCAGTGGGCTACTGGGCGGAAGAATTGAATTCAGTTTAGGTATAGTATTTGAAACAAAAATTGAGGCTCAGAATGTACTAGGAGATGTTCTGTCTTGATTACGTCTTTTACAGTACACATGGCTGTTTGGTGGCTGTGTGTTTCTGGTTTTAAAAAAGTCTTAAGTAAAACTCGCAAAGCTTCATCCCTTTTTTACTGGGAGGAAGCTACCTTTTAAAGAAAGAACTTGGGAGGAGGCATTCACACTGGTGTTGATTTGTCTCATTCCCTCTCATGCATGCTGTGATTTCCTTCACCTTACAGAAATTTAACTGTGTAAAGGGTCATACCTTTGCAGAATTCCAAGAAGTGGAAGTTCAGTGAAGTCTATGCATTCCTGGAAAGGGTTATATGTGGCCAGTGCTTTAGAAAGTAGGCATTAGCAATTTTAGATCAGCTTTTTTAAAGTAACCATTATTTTTTTATTTTTTTATTTTTGGAAATACACCAATAAATACCAATAGGTAAATAAGATCGAAAAATCAGTTGTTGTAATCTACTGGAGGCATTTACTTTCCGCTCATTCTCAGCAAACTACATATGCATACGTTTTTATTTTTCATAATTTATTTATCATTTGCTTTCCAGATTAAAATATAAACAAATTGATTTCTACATTTGGAAACAAGTAAAGAATCCGCGACACTCAACTGATGAACTTCCATGTGAAAAGGACAGAACATAGGTTAAAGTTTTATATGCCAAAAATTTAACTGGAACTTTTTTTAATCACTCTTCTTTAATCCTAGAACCAAAATCTATGGATTTAAAAGTAGTAACAAGATTATAATATTGACACTGAATTGGACCTAATGGCTGAAATTTCTGGTGCTTAGCATAGTAAGTTGCACATAAAGTAGGCCTGTTGACTCAGTGAAAGGAGTTGGCTTACCAAATTCCCACTGATTCAGTGGGCCTACTCTAGTGTGACTTACTACACTAAACAACAGGTTTTCATCCTTTGTTTGATTTCCTCATGTACTGCCAATTTTTTTCCACTCTCCGTTGATTCAAGTGTGAGTTTTGATACGATAAAAGGGGAAAGGAGAACAAATTTATTACTTCTTGCTATCTTCCAGGGATATTGGCATCCTTCTCAACAAAACATGAATGATCCAGTTAAAGTCACAAAAAATGTAACCAATGTTTTCTTATATTGCTGAAACCTATATTGTTACGCAGTAATCATTCACAGTAGTATTGTTTGGAATTTCAAATATGGTCAATGATAATCAAGCCTTTGAAACACTGACAAAATATACGTACTCTTTACATTTCCCTATACTTTTATTTTATGAGCTGTCTTTGATCCCTTAATTGGTAGGGAAATGGCACAGAAATTAAATAAATATATTTTTTCTGTAAGTCAAAATTGCTTATCAGGCTTTGTTTTCTAATCTGTGATCTATGCATTAAAGTGCGAAGAAGATCTAGATTCTAGTTTGTCATTATGACATTATTGAGTTTTGTGGAGTTTTGCTTCAAACACACTGTTTTAGGCCTGCCTGCTTAAGTCTTTTCAACTTAACATTTTTGTCAACCAAAAGCCTGAACCTGATAACAAATGTCAGAGAACCTAAGTCCTTTCATTTTAATGGGACTTCTTTTCAAGTAGGGTATTATGCAAAGTGCTGTTTTGGCAATATATTTCCACACATTGTTGGAATTCTCATGGTGGATTGAATGAAAGGCATACTTACGGAATGCAAAAATTAGGATGTTATCAGATACAAGAGTCTGTTTATATTTTGTACCAATTATGTATTTCACATAGATATAGAAGGTTGCAGTATTCTGTTATTTGGTAAGAAGATAATCTAATGCTGAATATTGATTTTGTTTTTAGATATCTTCACCTGTTCACAATTCTGATTTCATAATTTTAAATTAGCTTTTATTTGCTTACAGCGTTTTTATGTGTTCACTGGAAGGGCAAAGCTTGTTTATGGCTTGGTTCATTCTCCTGGAAAGAGTATTCCCCAATCCCCAATTAATTATATGGTTTATAACAATTTTATGCATAATATTGGTTAGTGTCTCAGTGTATCTGCCTTATCTGTGACATGTATTTACAGGAGTGAGCTAAAAATTACCTCCCTAAGTTCAGAAGTAGTGTTGGTTCTGACAGGTGCTGCTGTAATTTGGAGACCAGATAAATTCACCCTGTTTTAATATTGGGTTTCTTTTTGAAGCTTCCTGCAAAAAGAATGTGGTGGTTTCCTTTTGTTTAGACCTATATGAACCCAGACTCTTATTTGTATAATTTAATGTGCCGTTGGAGATTGCTGTATATGGATGATTTTCATAGAGCTAATTTTATTAACTTATGAAGAAATTGACAATGCATGTTTTCTTGTTGAATACACTAGAAATATACTAGAAAGATGCACAAATACTGCAGAATGTGCATAGAATGTATGATACTTTAGTTAAATAAAAGAATCTTACCTAATTTCATTGGTCTGAAATTCATATTGCAGTCTCATTAAAGTCATGGCTTACTGCTGCATGAGATATTAAGGACTGGGGAGAGTAGGTGGTGCGTTTTTCTTGTCACATAGTTCAGAATACGGGAAAAAGCTATAGCTGATATTGTTCTAGCTGAATAGTTATTTCAGCATTGAGAGGAAAATTCAGTTAGTTATTTTGGCAATGCTGTGTATCTATGTTTGTGTTGGAAACTGTTATATGTCTATAGTAGAAAAGACACAATGGAAATCTAAAACTAATTTGTATACACCACTCTGATGAAATAGAACAAGCCCAGCCCTAGAACACCCTTTTCTCATCTTGCTCTAGAATGGGGGTTGTCAACCCCCGGTCCGCGGCACGTCCCCCCGTGAGCGGGGGGTGCCCCCATGTGCATAGAGCTCACTCCACCTAGCCGGTACACAGTCCAAAAAAGGTTGGGGATCACTGCTCTAGAAGAACCCATATTCCTAAGTTCCCTTACAGTGATGCCTCGCAAGACGAAATTAATTTGTTCCACAAGTCGTGTCATATTGCAGAAATTTCGTCTTGTGAAGCGCAGTACTAATGGTTGTGCGATTTAAAACAAACCCCACAAAAAGGGGGAAAATTTGTCTTCCGAAGCACAACCATAGAAAAATTCATCAACAAAAAAAAATCACAAAATGCTTTCATCTTGCAAGTTTTTCGTTGTGTGAGGCATTTGTCTTGTGAGGCATCACAGTACTTCCAAGAATTTTTGTTCCTTATTAATTAGCTACTGTAGCGATCACCCTTGGCATGAATATTCATCAGAGTATTTGCATGAGAGGGGCCGTAGCAAAGGGTAGAGAGACAGGGGTTTCGGGGAGATAGAGAAAAAGGTCAGAAGATGGAAGAAAAAAGAACTTGATTGAGAGAGGATGTAAGTACTTTACAAAGGAAGAAGGAGGTGGGGCTAGCCCACTGTAGCCCACCTTAGGCTAGCTTAGTTGTGTTTTATTATTTTAATGGGAAATAGTTATTTTATTTAACTGTAATCTTTGAATAGTTTCTTTATGCTAAAGCTTGTGCAATATAAACTGATTCTATGAAACTTTATTTTTCTAATAAAAATTAATTATAAAAATCCTTATAAAGGACTGGTCTCTTGAACAGCAGGGTCTGGTTAAATCCAGGAAGTGGAGAGGGCCACAAACTAGCTGTCTTTAAGAGTCCTACCTAACTGAGCTTTTGTGAGTTCTAAGGAATCACAAAGCCCATGTGTCTGTACTTGCAAAGTACTGGGTAAAAGTAAAGTATTCTTTTAAGGTCAGACTTGTTCAAGGGGCTTACGCTACACATTCCTGAGGTCTTGGGACTTGCCCCAGCATAAAGGTGGTAGGTAAGTGGCCTATCGAACTCTCTGACCGAGTGCTAAGCGCTCCTAAGGGAGGCTAGTGCACCATGTGGTGCGGGGGGTGTGTGTCACAGACCGGGGGGGTGTTGATGACCCCTGTTCTAGAGCAAGGTCTGTAGTTTGGGTTTGAGGCAGAGAAAGAATTTAAGGAGCGACTACTCAGAGTGTTATCGGTATTAAGATAGAAAAGGTTAAAGGAAAATACTGAAGCTTTGTGTAATTTTAAGAATGTGCTTAAGAATTATTCCTGAAACAAGTTGTAATCAACAAACCTGTTTTTATTTCAAAGTTAAGTACTCAATGGACCTCAGTCTTTCATAAGAAACATAGTTGGTAAAGAGATCAACTGGTGGCAGCGAGGAAAAGGGCATATGGGATACCTGCATGAGCTCTGTGTTTGGTGAAACAAGCAAGGGCCACGGGGTAAATGTCACAGCTACCCAACTCTCTTCCTTTCCTCTTCTTCTCTCAAGCTCTCTTCAAATTCCATTTTGATTTAAGCCTCGCTCTGAAAATGTTATGTAAGTTTTTAAACCTTGCCCCCCCCTTCTCCTTAAAATTCAGGCTTAATTGGTGACTAGTTTAAAATGTAACCTCTTTTGCTCAGAGATTTCATAGGTAATTCAGTTTTCCTAGCAGCACCAGTTTATGGAACTGGGATTCCGATTAGGATGGATAAAGGGGGAAAATTTAAAGCCTCCAAATAAAGTGTAGCGGTGTCTCCAGCCTATATGTTTCCTGAAAGGATATAGGACATGTAACCAATGAAGGGGATAAGAGGGCAGGTCCTCTTATGGATTGAGAATTGGTTGAGAACCAGGAGAGTAGGTGTCACTGGGCAATTTTCACAATGGAGAGAGGTGAAGAGCAGTGTGCCCCAGGGATCTGTCCTGGGACCGGTGGTTTTCAATCTGTTCATAAATGAACTGGAGACAGGGATAAGCAGTGAGGAGGCCAAGTTTGCAGGTGACCTGAACCTTTTCCGGGTGGTGAATACCGGAAGGGATTGTGAAGAGCTCCAGAAAGATCTCTCCAAACTGGGAGAATGGGCGGCAAAATGGCAAATGCATTTCAATATAAGAAAATGTAAAGCACATTGGGGCAAAAAATCAAAACTTCCAGTTGATGGCTTCTGAGCTGATGGATCAGGAAAGTGATCTTGCTGTCCTGGTGGACAGCTCGATGAAAGTGTCAACCCGGTGTGCGGTGGCAGTGAAGAAGGCCAATTCCATGCTAGGTATCATTTTAAAAAGGGGGTTGAAAATAAAACAGGCAACATAATTCCATTGTACAAAATGATGGTATGGCCGCACCTGGAGTATTGCATACAGTTCTGGTTACCACACCTCAAAAAAGACATAGTGGAAGTGGAAAAGGTGCAGAAGAGAGCAAATAAAATGATGACTGGGCTGGGGTACCTCCATTATGAGGAAAGGCTACAGCATTTGGGGCTCTTTAGAGAAAAGGTGCCAGGGGTGTGTGTGACATGGTTGAGATGTATAAATTTATGCAGGGGATGGATAAAGTGGATAGAGGGAAGCTCTTTTCCCTCTCACGCAATACTAGAACCAGGGGACATCCACTCCAATTGAGTGTTGGGAGAGTGCGAACAGACAGAAGAAAATACTTCTTTTAGAGATGGGGGTATTTGTATTAGTATATGAATATCACCCCCATAGGTGCAGTTAACAAGGGTCCGCCCTCCCTGGGGCCAGACCGACCACTCGCCATTCTGCCACTGCTGCAGGCTCCACACTCCTTCCCTATTGTTCCGGAGCTCTCCATGGATTAGCCACTCTTCAGCCTGGCAGAGAGGCTCATCATCCCGCCTTCTGCTGGGAGTGGCTAATCCACCGCGGGCTCTGGAGTGATAGGAAGGGAACACAGAGCCCACATTGGTGGTGGACAGGTGAGTGGTCGGTCTGGCCGCAGGGGGCCAGACCCTTGTTATCTGCACATGTGGGGGGATATTTGTATACGAATGCCCCTATCTCTAATTTCTTTATCCAGCGTGTTGTTGGTCTGTGGAGCCCCTTGCCACAGGGTGTGGCGATGGCATCTGGCTTAGATGCCTTTAAAAGGGGATTGGACAGATTCCTGGAGAAAAAGTCCATCACAGGTGACAAGCCATGATGGGGATGTACAATCTTCAGGTTTAAAAGGAAGGTACCTCCAAATGCCAGATGCAGGGGAGGGGGATCAGGAGACGGGGATCTCGTAGTCTCGTGTGCTCCCAGAGGCATCTGGTGGGCCCACTGGGAGATACAGGAAGCTGGACTAGATGGGCCCTTGGCCTGATCCAGCAGGGCTCTTCTTATGTTCTTATGTAATGATTTAATAGAATGGAGGAGCAGGGAAGAATTGAGGTTTATTTAATGGAAATAAGCATGAGTTTGGAGCATCAGGGGTTATTTTGGTTTTTAGAATCATAGGATCATAGAATAGTGAAGTTGGAATGGGCCTATAGGGCCATCAAGCCCAACCCCCTACTCAATGCAGGAATACAGATCAAAGGACAAACTCAGCAGAGTAAGGAGGAGGAGAGATGCGGATGGAGCAACTTGGATAGGCATATAGTTTAAGTCTCTAACCAATAAAATAAATATTAATATCTGAAGGAAGAAGGTATACCTGCTCTCTCTTAGATGGATGTCTTTCAATTCTTTCTTTTCATCCAGCAATTCTCCCTGTCATCTCTCTCCAGCTCTCTCATCACTGCCTCCCAGCCTCCTCAGACCAAGGCCTTCATCTCCCTGTGTTCCTAAAGGCCAAAAACTGCTGTCTGCCAGAAATCCTATGATGGGGGCTACACTGTACGAAGTAAAATCTAAGCAGACAGGAGAATCAAAGCCTTTACCTTACACTTCTGTCCATCTGCTTCCTCCTTGTACAGTGGGGTCTCTACTTAAGAACGTCCCTACTTAAGAACAATCCAACTTAAGAACAGCTCCATTTGCTAAATTTTGCTTCTACTTGAGAACAGAAATCCAAGATAAGAACAGGAAAAAAAAACCTTTCCTGCTCTTTTTTTAACCTTAGGTCATCTTAGGTTAAAAAAAATTCTCCCCCTAGTGGTAGAGTACGTATTAACCAGCTTTGCATTAGTTCCTTTGGGAACTAATGCTTCAATGTACGAACGCACCTCTACATAACAAAAAAACAGCCAGAACGGATTAATTGGTTTTCAGGCCATTCCTATGGGAAATTTTGCTTCAACTTAAGAACGTTTCAACTTAAGAACGCCATTCCAAAACGGATTAAGTTCTGAAGTAGAGGTTCCACTGTAGTTTCTATGGATGGAAAAGAGCAGATACGGATTAAATGGGTTTCAATGCATTCCTATGGGAAATGCAGATTTAACATAAGAATTTTTCAACTTGAGAACCACCTTCCAATACGGATTAAGTTCTTAAGTAGAGACCCCACTGTACCATCTAATGTGACCTGTCAAAAGGCACTGATTTGCCAGTTGCCCGGCTCTTAGCAGCCAACAATGTTGAGTGGGGAGAGAAAAACAAGGGGAATGTGGAAGTGTCCATATATGGGCACTGAGCCAGATCCAG